GTAGTAGTGAAAATGATGGTGAACTCATACTTACTTAAAACTTCATCGTTTCAGTCGTTATGCTCAACCATCTCAGCAGTCATCCCATTTGAAATCATCTCTTTTTCACATATCCTATTTCGAGGGTATCATACTTTTTGAGTTGCGTCCTTATCTAAAGTAGACTAAAAGAGATTATCACGCTTGTTTTATTTTGCTTTCTCAGTTCAGTAGATAGCGATGGAGGCAGGACTCCAAAGTCCATCGATTCTGCTCTGCAGAGCGACAAAAAGTGAGTACGCTTGATCTTCAACCTTATTTGTTTTGCGCTTCACTAACGCGACGTGTCTTGAACCCCTCTTCAGAGCCGTGAAGCCTGGTGACAAGGGCTTTGTGATGCGAGCCCGCGTTCCCATGCCATCCAACAAAGATTACGTTGTGCGACCACAGAATGCTGTTGAACGGATGGATTTCTCCAAGGTAAGTCGATGATGAGACTACAGTTACTAGGTCAGTGTCACGTTACGTACACATGACTCGCCTTTGAGCGACGGTTGTCAGGCATATTGGAAAGTACAATTTGCCAGTGTGGTGTAGAATGCAGTTGAAATCTAACTTAAGGGCTGCCTGACCAGTAAACGCCTAACAGGTTGCTATTATGATAGACATATGTATCAGCTTGAAAGTGTTCTTTTGAAGGAAAGTTATTAGCTTTAGCTATGGGGGAAGATTAGAAATCAGTTTTAGTTTAGTGTATACAACCAATTTACGAACAAAGGATTAATCAGACAGTAAAAAAGTTATTGGACATAAAACGAGTTTCGTCTTGCTTTGCTATGTTCTGTCAATTTCAGAAACCTCAAAAGTCGATGAACCGTTTTGAAAAACAGAAGAGAAAGTTTGATGAAAAGAAAAAGCTTCTCAACAGAGGATCACAGCGAGCCGTGGGTATTAGCATCGAAGGAAGGAAAATGGCTCTTTGATCGACGCCGTTTACGTGCTGCCTACACGAAGTAATCGTTCATGTGAAACGCTGATGCTAAATGAATCTCTACTGCAAGCATCCCTCGTCTTTGTGAACACGCAATGAACAAACGTCATCAGTCACTTGAGAGATGAATGGAGCGAAGTGTTTTGACGCACGCCTATCAGAGCCAACGATGTAACAACTTTTTAACTTGCGCTAATTGTAATGAAAATGAATGAAGGAAAATAGGGACAGAAGATTTTTGTTACCTTTGATAAGAAATCCATACTCTATTATTAGTATCCTGATATGATTTTGTGAACTCGTAACTTGACTTCAAAGGACTGCAGGGAAAGTAACTGAGGTTTGAGCTATTACACTCTAGGTTATAGAACCTTAGATTAACTTGTGTTTTTTTTTTTGGTTGCTGTTTGAAAAACAAAAGTTACTTCCCTTTGTGTCCGCGCGAAAGCATCTTCATAAATACTCGGTTTTGTACATAACAAAATAATTATTTAAAACTTTTAAATTGTGGAATCATTGCTAGAGATACAACAGACAGATGAAGGTTTACTCGGTTTCTATGCGAAGCCATTGGATTTGTTGTTTCGCAAGGATGGAAGCTACGGCGAGTTTCTACCAAGCATAGTTTTCATATCGCGCTGGAAATATACATGTTGTTCGATTAGCGCGGATATTTGGCGAATTGCGTCGTATTTATCCGAGCCCCTCAAGGGGCGAGAAAAGTCCATGCGATAGGCAAACTGTCGGACCTTGTTATATGTTAAACCATCGAATAAGGGATTTTATCCACCAATATTTCGTTTCCTAGTATTTTTGGCTTCTAGTTTCTAAATAATTTCTGACTTATCTGAGTATTATAGCGATCGCATACGGTGTGCGTGAAAGACGGTAATATTACAAACCAAACCATGTAAGTCCGCTTTTTTATGACCAACGAAACAAACTGATACACTTAAAAGCTCGTTGCTTAAAAATTTCTAGCCCAACTAAAACGAAAAAGTAGTTGTTTGGATCGTCCAGTGCGTTCCGCTTCCCTTCCGAATTTGACCCTGTCCTATTGTAATACCGTGGCAAACTTTGCGCGTTTCGTTGCCCCAATATGGTAATTGGAGTGATGGTGGAATAACAATCTTGGAGGGAATGAGCACAGCAAGAACATCATGGAAAGGCTTTTTCTAGGTGGCTATAGGGAAAAAGCTTTCAAGTCGCTAGCACAGAGCTTGTATGATTACAGCTTATTCCTAGTTCTTCACGACGCTTATTCCAATTTCTGTTGGCTTTATCGTTAGTATCTGTGGCACTGGTAGGATCACATTTCTATTTGATATGATGAAGTACTTAAGATTGAAGGTCTTTCAATTTCAACTAGCTTTCTTCCAAAAGAACCTTTGTAATGAAATCCTGACAAAAACATTTCCGCACAAAAGCGAGCGGGTGACAAGAGATTGTTTAAGTGCTTTACCCAAGATCAAAGCACAAAGCTCTTGGGTAGAATTCCCACGGGCTATTCCTTAGGCTTCTGCCCTTCATTAAGAAAATGGGGAGCCCTTACGAAGGCAAAGGTTCTTTCAAAATATTTTTGTAGGGCGAAACGTTAAACTGGTACTAACTAAGAGTTTTGTTAAAGTATTAAATAACACCACGTGAAGTCCTTATTTTGAAAAAAAAAAAGAAAGAAAGAAAAAAAAAAAACAAGCACGAAGAGCATAAAGGTGCAATGCTCAGAACAGGTATTTCATGGTGAACAAAGAAAAAGCGTTCGTTGGAAGAGGATGATATCAATTATGGAACAGCATTTGGTCGGTTCTAGTATTTTCAACTCTTGAAAAAAATCAATTCTGCGGTTCCATCTCGCAATGCTTCTTCGCCTAAGAGTCTTTTAAGAGACAAGTCCTGAATCCTCAAACTGCAGGAATGCTAGTCCGATGATTTATTTTTCCTCACCTCGAGTGTAACAACGCCAACTCAAATTTAGCTCGTCTTCCAACAAACGATCGAGCGAATGTTCATGTACCTTACACGACGTATGATGCTTCCTTGACGCAGTAAGTATCGAAAACTTTATGTCTTTTTTTTTCTTTTTTATATATTTTTCAGTTTAGGGCGGTATTCTAAGGTTACATTTTGCAGAGTATCCTAATTAGAGGTAATAGTAAGGTAAATATTTATCGCCGCCACCTGCAAGTAACCCGCTGGTATAGCTGAACTGAAGTTAGTAAGAATGTTTCAGTCGAATGCTTTTTTTACATCAATAAAGAATTTGTTTATATTGCGATTTTTGGGTTCTGTTTTTAGAATGTTATTGTAAAGGCTGAGTGCACTGCTTTGGTAGATTCGCCGAAAAACAGGAAAAATAATCACTTGTTAACTTTTTTGTGTCTGAGCGCCTGAGTAACGGAGTAATTCATACAAATATTTTAAAGGCGCGTTTATTGAAAATAACTTGAATATTATGACTAATAGATTTTAACCTCAAAAAGTAGGGAAAAACTGCGGACTTTAGGAGATCTAATGAAAGATTGTGTGAAGTCCTTAAAAGTCAATTGGTGAAATAACATGTCGTCGGCGTAAAGACAATAAAACCACTGTAAATGAACTAGATTTTTAAATGTATGAAACTTCAACAATGAATTGAAGCGAACTTTAATAAATGAGTTTTAAATTGTCAAGTGTTCGCAAAGAATTGCCTTGAATCCGAAATCTGATGTTCATTTATCAATTTGTGTTTCTGTTATATTTAACAGTCTGTCTGGTTCACAGAGGGAAAGCATAATCTTCCGCTCTCTCACATGAAATATTAAAACGTCCCGAACTGGTATCGGTTAGAATGTGTTAGCAAGCAAAAAATACCTACTGTTATTTTCATCTTTACGCAAAAACCATGGGTGGTATCGAATTTCTTTTACTTCATACTTAGATTCGTCAAAGTACTGAAAATTCTATGTTAAGGAAGAGATCAGCTTGAAAAATGAAAATGATAAATATTAAAAGCACATGGCTATGTCATGTGCGATCTTACGACCACGTCAATTTTTGAGAAATATAATGGGGTAGGCAGTCTTTGAAGTCTGACTGACAATTCGGCCATAAAATATAATACTATGCAAACTTGGAAAAAGAAATTAAAAAAAAAACTGATTTGGTTCAGAGCTAACATCTGTTTATTCAGTGTAATGGCAGTGTTAATGTATTTACCGAAATGTATACATTTCCGATTGTGGCGAAGAAACCAATTCACGGGCCGCGGACATGCTTAAGTCAACAAAAGAAAAAATGTCATAAAAATATTTCGCCGCCTTGTAATAAGCAAAACAAACGAGTGCTCCGGAAAAGGTGAACAGTTGCTACTCGAAAAGTGTAAATACCATGTTTAAAATGGTTATTAATTTTAATCACGTACACTGACAAAGCTAACAACTCTGCTACAGCTACGAAAATCCTCGTCTGAATTCTCAGTCTTCGCGAAAGAACCCTTTTGAAATACATTTGGGTCACGGTTTCGAAGGAGTAAGTCACGAAATTTATTCCGCTGGACTCTCGTAAAATCTTAAAATATCAGGAAATGCATTCCTCGAGGTGAGAAGTTTTTAGTTTCATTGCTTGTCAATTCTTTTGTTTGGCCTGGTACATGGTGAAATGGTTGGTTAAGTTTTGAAGTATTACCACACATCTGTCTCCAAATAAACGCATCTGAATTGAAAAAAATCAAAACTTTCCATGTTAGTTTCACGATTTCTCCATTTAATTTTGTCCTGTTCGAGATTTTTCTGGCTGGTGGTGATGAAAAAAAATCTTCGAGGTGAATAAAATTCATACATAAATTATGTTACTTTTATACTGCTGTTTAAAGAGCGAGAACAAACTTGTCTAAGAGAATGACAACAGAGGGCTTTGACTTGAGGCGGGATCACCCGCTCTGAATCGAATGAAGGAGTACTTCCGAAAGTCCTTAAAGTCAGGATAAATTTTCCCCATCGCTTCAAAGTTTTGTGGGTTGCCATTTTGTGTATTTATACTTTGTACAGTTTTTAAGGACTAAGTATCACTTGCGGGCGAACTAACAATAGTATTGAATAATTGAACAGCGACAAGCCAATGAGATGGCTCGTTTTTCTTAGCAAACATCCCTGTTAATTAGTCAGAGACATTTAAACAGTGGTCTTTCTATTTGAGACCAATTTTGCTTTAATCGTAGAGGACTAGAGCATCCATCACGTGGAGAAGCTGTAGTATTGAGTTTTGTTTCATCTCTTAGGTCAAACTCGACGAGAAAATCTTTTGAAATTACCATGAGCGCTGTATCTGAGAATGCCCCATCCAACAGTACCCTACGCGCGCCAAAATGCGCCCGCTGCCGGAATCACGGAGTGGTGTCTTCGCTGAAAGGTCACAAACATTATTGTAAATGGAGGGACTGTGTTTGCCCCAAGTGCCTGTTAATAGCAGAGAGACAGAGAATTACCGCCGCTAGGGTGGCCCTTCTGCGCCATCAAACCAGAATGGAACCGTTCGAGTCTAAAGGCTGTGGACCATGCGTTGAATTTACGCATGGAGGCGCGGATCACGAAGTAGTATTCCCTTCGTTCACGCCGAGAGTGAACTCGGTTTTCTCCGCCAGTCCTCCATCCGAACCAACACGACCAGCTTCTTGCCCTGTAACTGAAGGTAATAAAAAGATAGTTATGATTTTTCTTTTTTTGTATAGTATGTCAATACAAAGTTAGCCATTTAAAAAATGGTACGTGATTTGAAAAAATTAGTATGTGATTTCCAGGTGTCATCAGGCGTGAAACAAACTCTAAAACGGAAGACGATTTGAAAGAACAAAAGATCAGCTGCGGTTGAAATCAACTAAAAAAAAAATTCTTTTGTCTCGATGAAAGTGTTGTGTAATCTTAACAGTGAGTTGTCTATAAAACCATTTCTATCGATCTTTTTGTTTCGCGTTGACGGTAATTCTAAGCCCAACTTTTCTAAATGTACAGCACTAAAACAAATTTTAAATTACATCATCATTGAAAGAGGAGAAAGGAACATGCCAAGAAGATAAAAAACATTCGAATTAGTTTTTTCTTGACAGAGGTGTCTCCTAAGATTTAATTTAATGCACATGTCAATTGCGTAGAGTTTAAGTGCTATATTTAAGTAGAGAGAAAAAAACGAATTTTGTAATTGAAGGAAATGGACTGTAGTAAAGAAACAGTAATACATGTGGTTATTCTCTTTGGGAAATTTGTTATAAATAGGTAATTTCTATTCATTCTCGAATAGTTCATTTGATCGTATGTTTCCGAAAGTATTTATCGTTTAGTTTAATGAACTGCACAAACTGCACAAACAATCAAACCACCTGTTGCCCACTTGAGCGAGTACAAAAATATCTAGACTTTTTATCAAAATTAATTACTTCTCTGATAAATTGTATAACTGCTTGCTCGTATGTTGAATTTGAACGCTACTTTTTCCTAAAGGGAGGTTGGTACTTATTAGAAATTATTCAGTGGTACCGGTATGGTTCGATAATTTGTTTCGTTCTAATTCTTGTGCTGACAGCGCTTTTAAATTGGATTTGTCTGACGTAAAGAGGAAATGTCCGCCTATTATTTTAACTCACTTTTATTGAAGGAGAGAGACTTGAAAAGACAACAGAAAGTTCTACTGACATACATTTTTTGGTTTGTCTGTTTAACGAGTTTGTCTTCAATTGAAATGTTTGGCAGACGGTGCAAATAATTCAGTTACTTTGATTGAAAGTGAAAAGGTTAGGGTTTTGTTAATCAAATTGTGAATCCTAACTTCTCTTCCATGATTCATCTTACAGAGAAAAACTCACAACAGCCAGTGTTCATTAAAGAAGAAAAAATTGATCCGGAGTATTCCAGCAATGACACTCTTCCCGAAGACGACCGAGGTGATGAACCTCCTCCCAAAAGATTGGCAAGAAGCGCCTCACCGCAGCTTACAAACGGGAATGTTTCTCGCTCCCCGTCACCTCGCTTTCACGTGCATGAAAGCTGTCGACCACAAGCAGATCATGTGATCAGGGAGAACGATAACTCTTCGTTTCAGTTGCCATGGAGCTCGACTTTCCGTGACCAAGATGATTTCGACTACACCGTGAAGCTTCTTCAAAAGAGTCTTGGTGAATCTGCCTTCAAAAGACGGAAACCTCCCCATCCTGTCGAAGTTCTCAGCAAAATATTTCCTTCACACAAAGAAAACGTATTGGAACTCGTTCTGAAAGGCTGCAGTGGTGATTTGGTCCAAGCGATCGAATGTATTCTAGCTGGCAAGAGTCATTCCATCGACTTTACGGAGCCAGCCTCGTCCTGTCTTTCCTCTGCTCCTTTGCCTTCTAGTTTTTCCAGCATTCCGTTCACGGGAGTTAAACAAACTCTGCTTCCAGGCGTGCCTCTCTCTTTACCTCTTACGTCATTCAACGGTGCTACCAAGACTACGGCGCACCCACTGACCTCAATGGGAGCGCAGGCTCATGGTGGACTAAGGTTACCTCCCATGATACGAAGCCGTTCGTTACAAACTCAAAGAAACGAGCATGAAGAAAGAGAACTGAATGGATATCATGCGCACAACGGCCTCATTGGGCCAGCATTTTTGCCGCCTTATCGAGGTTCGCCTCCGCTTTCTAGAGAAAACAACTTTTTGGAGAACGAAATCTCGGTTTGTTTTCGTTGTGGTACAAAATCTCGATCGGGTGACCGATTTTGTGGGAAATGTGGGGCGGACCTTAAATGTTAACAAGACGTGTCATTTGTTTGACTGTGAGCCATTAGTTTTGGTGAGGGTCGGGTATATTAAATCGAGCTTACCAGAAAACTCCCCGAGAAAAGTTTAAAAACAGCGGCTTTACCGTTTTCGTTTTCTTCTAGTTATATCAGTTTTGCAGTGGGGTGTCGTAAAAAGAAAGTTTTAAAAAGCGGTTCGTGGTCTTTCCCAAGAAGTTACCAGTAAGCCTCGATATGGTGTATTCGCCTCATTCGTGTCCAAATAATTGGCGCACATTTTCCAATCGGTCGGCAAAACTAGTTTCGAAAATAATTAATCCAAGAAAGGTCACAATATTTACTCTTTTATGTGCAAATTCTGATGAGGAGTTGTAAATGTTGTTGGCAAAGGTGTTACTTTTTTCTCAAGGCAGGATCAAGAGACAAAATCACCTTTTTAAAAGAAACTTATCTGTGAAACCATCTCAGAGTCCTTTATCTAACAAAAGGCATAAACGGAAATAAAAACGCATTTTTTGTCTCTAACTATTACAGCTTTAATCTATTCTCAAAATCAGGGGGTTGGTTGGAAGGAAAAGATCACCTTAACAAGATTCATCTTTACCCTCTACTTGTCACTGTAAGCAATAAAAATGTCAACCAGATTGACTTATCATGATTAAAGGGGGGAAGTTTCCTAAGAGACCGTCATACTGCGTAAATTGGCCACCGTAAAGAGTTTCACAAGCTGATACGATGACCAAAGATACTCGTACATATCCAAACGAAAACACGCTTTAATGTACTTCCAAACAAAACGAAACGACGTGAAGATTCGAAGCGAAGTGAACAATTGAAGCGGTTGCTAAAACAAGGTTACAAATAATAAGTTACTAAATTTATACGTAAAGAAATTGGCAAACGAGAAAACAAAGTAAAGATTTACTAAAGACACTTCCAAACGCTATAGGATGTCCGGGAACAAATGGCTGGTTACAGACGATAGAGAACGATTTAAAGCGATTTTGAAAAATGAATCAGAACAGTTAAACGAGAAAGCCGAATGAATGAAATTTATGGTATAGAACTTAGGGAAATGATGTAAAAACAAAGTAGCGGATTATCGATGAAAGTAATGCGCGTGAAAACAAAAGAACAAATATAAATAAAAATGCGATGGAAAGTGAAAAGTTACGAATTCACAATGAATTACGTCAATATGATTTTTGGCGGTAACAGATCAAGCTTCGAGCGCTAGCACGTCGTGGTTTCTTTTATCGCCTGCACTCAATCATCTGTTTGCTTCTTGTAGTAACTAGTCTTCTTATCACTAATAAGAAACGCAGACGCAGTGTGTAATTGTTTTTTATTAAGAAAGACTCAATTTCAACTCCAGCTCACATTACTCTGAACATACTCAGTTTCTTTCCAGGAGTGGTTTCAAATACCTCAAAGATAGGCTAGCCCTACATCAATAAAGTAACACTAGACTATCACACGGGCATTTGGCAATCCATGAGTCACCTTTAAGAAAAATATATCAGGTCATATGTGTAGAAAGCAAATTAATTTAAGTGGAATAGACTTGGATTGATAATGACAATTAACACAAAAAATTATTTAAACCAGTAATAATGAGTAAGGAACAGCATGATTTTTTCCAATGGATATTAAGCCACGCTAAAGAAAAACTGAGCAAATATCAATTTAAAGTCTCTCACAACCTGTTAATTAAGAACAAGTTCTGCCGGTGATCTTCATCCTTACCAGACAAGACTGTTCAGAATGATAAAGAATGGAACTCGACTTGCAGGCCTGCTCTTGAAGGTTTATTAATCATGGCTCAATACATCCTTGTTCTTGTTCTTATAATGCTCCTTCTTTCTGTTTATGGATGGCAAACCAAGAGACTCTTAAAGGCTTTTTTCAGTTGTACTGAACCTTTTCATTATTATTATTTTCATCATCTGACTGACTATCTGGCTCAGTAGTATACTATCATCGTATCACCATGCGGGACACTATTTCCTAAGCAGAAGGTATGTCATTGCACAAAAATGTAATTAATTATTATCAATAACATGGCAATCACAGGGAATACAACTACATAATACAAGATACAAAACAGCTAACCATTCCCCCTAACATGGAATAGTTATATTTTACAACATCTCTGGCTGATTTAGCGATATATATTGTTTATTTTCAAGATGTACATCATTCTTTATTATCTATCTTCCTTTCAGGGAATGCTGCCCATTACTGGAAACCTTTTCTAGCCTCTCAAAGTGCTTCCTCGCATTGCGAATATTAATCTGTGTAGCAGCAGATGCTAAGAGAGAGAAGAATTTACACTTCAAGCAGATGTTGAAAATTCACTCATTATAGAATCAAATTCATAGCACACTCATATTTCTCTGGAATCTGTAAATACTCTGAAGAGGGCTATATTTAATAATTGACTTGAAGATTTGTTTCTATAGTGTACAAGCTATTAAGATTAATTGCCCTTTTTAACAACCTGTTTTTCAGTTGAATGCTCTAAGTCAGGTTTGTGGAAGCAAGTTGGTCAGTGTCAACTCAAGAGATTTTTTTTTCCCTTCACAACGGTACTTAACAGTTACATAGAGGTTGTAAAAAAGGTCTTTCTGTCTGGTCTGTTGGTTATAGTATTGCTGTAAATTGGGGAGTTTGAAATGTAAAAAGTAGATCAATTCCTGTATCAGGAACCAACTCCAAGGATGAGCTAGTTGCACATAGGTGTCACCTATGAGAAAGTTCATTGTATATATACTTACGGATTGTGTTGTCAGACATGATAACCATCACATATGTGTTTGGTGTAAAGACATCAATAAATGCAGCAAATGTAGAATTGCGCACCTCCATGCTCTGAAAATGGGCATGCAGTTTACTATGGAGAAAATTAAGAGTGGAAGGTCAAGATTAATTATCCATGTTACACAATACAGGGGCTTCAAGCAGTTAAAACTGGAGCATAAGCTCAGTAGTGATGTGATAAAGCATCCAAGTCCATTAGACTGGAAAACTTGACCTTCCTCAACAGGACTCAACTTACCTACAGCTTAACTTGAACTGTTTGATAATGTTACTAATTTTTTCAAATCTGTGTACATCCTTATGGGACTTGCGTTGACAATAAGAAATAACCTGAAAAATGAACACTAAGTGTCATTCAAATGTTGTTTACAAAGAGGGTCACAACAACAAACTCAAACTAAGTTAAATCTACCGTTAACAATTTACAAATAACCCTTTAATTCTTAAGATCTCGTTAGCTATATAATGGTCATTATGTTAGTATTTATTCTCATTACTTGTCTGCTTGATATTGTATTGATATTGTAAGGAGAAATTCTGTCTCAGTCACCCATGGGAGTGAAAGGGTTTAAAGCTATTGAATAGTTGACAGATCTGATAGCTAATTGGTTAGAAAGATCAACTCTGGATCAAGAGTCCACTGTTTAACCCTTTAACTCCCATGAGTGACCAAGACAGGATTTCTCCTTACAATGTCAATACAATATCAACCAGATAAGTGATGAGAATAAAGGAAAATATCAATTTGAGGATAATTAGTTGATCCAATACTAAGTTCTCTGAACTAACATTATGAGAATTGTATGGTTGATAGTAAGGAGAATTACAAATTTGATCTGGGAGTTAAAGGGTTAAGACTTGGCTAGGTCCTTGTGTTGTTTTCTACAGTGAGAACATATCAAAGTGTCTTATAAAGCCTGTAGTGTAGAAAGCTATCAGTGGACTGTCAGGAAAATTGAAATAATGCTAATGTTGACAGACTATTGTAGATTAGCAGCCCATTTCAATAAAAACTACAATGTAGGTATTTGGTATATCAGGGGATGCTAAAGCAGGATCAGGCTTCCAGGTGTTCACCCTTTACCTCCTAACATCAGTTGGCACATTCTTCTTTAATTAAATACCTACCAGAAATGTGGCCCTCTCAAACAAAAGGACTTCATCTGCTTCAATGATTGAAGCAAAGTTCTCCAGATTCTGTTCCAGTTGTGTCACATTTGGTATCAGCTGATAGACAATGGATGACCAAGCCTTGTAAAGAGTTTCATCCCAAATTGATGTACGGAAACATGTACATTCCAGTGGCTTTGAGAGCCTTTTGAGGTCTTCTTCCCGCTCTCTAAAAATCTGAAAAAAAAATCGTGTCTTTTGGAGACATTTTCACAGCCCAACCTGTACTTCGCAAAGCTAAATTTTTAGTACCTTCTGTCCAAATTCATCAGAGCTACTATGTTCCTTGTTGCTCCAACTTCCAATTAGGGGCCTTTAAAATTTGTGATCTCTCCCACATATCTCATTACCTGTTTTGATGATTGCAGATTCGCAGTAGGGAAAAAATTGCCATCTGGTGACATTGTGAAGGCTTCATTGTACAACAAAGAAGAGATCATATTTAGCCCCATAAAAATATGTTGAGAAACTTTTTTTCAAGAATGCATGAAAGCTTAAATTATGAAGTCAATGTCTCTATTGCTATCTTATTACTGCAAATGTACTCACTGCATCTCTCTGATCTTCTTGTACCAAATCCATTTTGTGAATAAGGCAAAATATCTTGGCATCAGGTGAATTCTGAAGAATGGCCTCTAGGCAAGTCTGGTAATAGTGCATATCTTTCTCAAGTTCACGACTTTCCACATCAAACACATAAATTAGAACTTCAACATTTCTAAAAATGTTGTCCCTCTGACTTGTGAAATAATTCTCCATAAATGCCTCTTGTCTGGGAAGTGAAAATAACACAATTGCTACTACTCCATTTTTTATGAAGATTGGAAGAGAGTCAATAAATCAGGCCCCCCTGGAATTAATGGAAGGCCAGAGTTATCTTATCTCTCTAATCTTTCAGATTCTTTCTTATAGAGGTTTACAACATAACTGAAATATTAGGAGCACCCTGATTGGTCAAAAACCTCTTGTTTATTGTAACAGTAAACCCATAGGAAATTGAAACATCTTAAGTCTAGATAGACCCAACCTTCTATCAATCTATTGTTGTAATAACCAACTTGGGATGTTTGGAGAACACCCAAAAAGTTTGTAAGTCACTCACCTCTGGCTTGTGAATTACAAACTTTTCCTATGTTCTCCCAACATCCTGCATGGGTTATTAAGCTGGTAAACATATAGAAAATGCAGTCTATTGCTTAATTAGAAAGTGTGATTAGAGATTAACAAATCAACTTCAAAAAAATGGTTGCCTGTATCAGCCAATTGTCCAGCTACTAATTACAATCAAAAATATTTCTCATTAGTTCAGTTACTACACTGAAAAAAATGAGAATATTGGTCAAAATATTTTACACTTCACAACAACTACATCGTAAAATGACGGTAAACTTAATGGTCTAATTACCCTCCACAATCCCAAAGATTGAGAACCAAATTTCCAAGAAAACGAACATGAGAATGTTCCACGTCAACTGAAAATAGAAACAAATTAAAATTACTCGTCAGAATGGAAAGTAAGAGGCCCTGCAATTTCACACGAGAGAAAATTCTGAAGTGATGTTAACTTTACAAAATAAAGATAAAGAGCCTCAAAGTGCGGGTACAAAAAATAAACTGTTAACAACAGTTAGATACTTGGATGATTTGGTTTTATCAACGGAATTGGTAATGTATAAATACATATACATATATTTATAATAAATTGCCTTCGTAAAATGTTTCTGAAGCTGACGTTTGGATCGTTAGCCCTTCGTCAGAGCGAAAGATAAAATACTTACTTGTCGCTCCAAGCCTTCTTGTGTCTCTTGCAATGTAGTTTGCAAATATTATCGACCTCATGCTCGTTTTTCCTGAGCCACTTTTACCCATAAGAAGAACCTTCAAGAAAAATTCGCAGGATGTAACATGCACGATGATGAGTCAGTCACAAGATTTTCCAATTAGTAGCATATATAGGTGCAAGTATCTGATAATAAAAATACATAAAATATCAGAAAAATACCTTCTTCTTCATCTTGACGTTCTTTTCCATCAGTTCTGATTAAAAACTTTTCGTAACTACGTGAATTCTCGTGACAGTCAAACTGCATGAGTTCTCGCGAGGAAGTCATGTGAGAGGATGCGAGGAACCTGCAATATCTCTAGGTCAGCAGAATTGCGTGGGCAAACTCTACTTCATGTTTGCAAAATTGAGTTTTATCCTAAACGCAAGGCATTGAGCACCGTTCAAAACAAAGATGGCAACGGACCGGATGATGAAGCAGCACTGAATTCTAACGTTTGTGTGGAAAATGGGAAAAAGTGAAGTCGAAAAAGCACCTAGTGCACCCAAAACCAAGAGAGAAAAAATATATTCCCCTACTAAGGTACTGTAGTAGAAATACTTTCAATGCAGTTTAATGTCATGTCCCAAATGAAAACATTTGCCAATTTTACATCTCAAGACTTAGATTTCTGCCTTGCCTTTTTCTAAGCTGCATAAAATGTTCCATTATGCACGCCTATTGCTTTTTGAAATATCTCAAAGCTAAAATATTGCTCGCAAAAGCCAAATACCACTGTTCAAGTGATAATCTCTCGCCTTCCGTCATGATCTACGTACAAAATAGTACTGAAAAACCTTTTTTCAGGTTATAATCCGCCGTCTCCCTCCATCGTTTACCGAAGAGCAATTGAAAGAAGAACTTGGAGAGTTTCCTGAGCATGACTTTTTCTATTTTGTTGGCAGTAACATGAGGTAAGCTGATCTTTATTTGGTTAATACGGTACTGGTAGGGGAAAGACATCACTATCAGTTAAGAGGCTTAAGATAGACTCCAGAGCATAAAATGTATCTCGGCTTCCACAACATTAAGTCGCTTGTAGTATTCCTACTTCTCCTAGGTGGAATTCAGTTGTAATCCGGCTTATCCCAACCCAGCAGTTTATAAAGTGAGCTTCTTCAGAAATGCTCCTACTAACAAACTTTCCCCTCCAACCTTATGCCTCTAAGCCAGAGCTTCAATTTTTTGACAGTCCCCCTCGTAATATTTTATTTCCTTCTCTCCCCTTTTCCTATGGAAAAAATATCTTATTTATGATAGGGGACAACATCTTCTCTGTTTTGTGTCAATTTTAATAATTGTTTTCTTTACTTTCTGTTTACAGCTTTGGTCCTGTTTCTTTTTCAAGGGCATACATCAACTTTAAAAATAGAGAGGATATAATCAAGTTTAGAGATCAATTTGATGGGTACTGCTTTGTGGACAGCAGAGGTATGCTTAGGAATAGTATCTTGGTGGTTTTTTTTTTAACATCCTTTAACCTATCATACTGTTTCAGTGTCTCAAGCTCTCTGTTACACTAGCCTGTTCAAAAAAACCCTTGTGGTTGTTCTGTAAGTCTTTCTCTCAGTCTTTCTGTTGTTATTTCTTTCTTCTGTGGATCAGTCTTTTAACTATCTTCTTTCCCATGTGTTTCTGAGACTGTGGCTTAGTTAGTCACACTTTCAATCACTTCATCAGGCAGTCATTCAAGTTCCGCAAACAATCTGTCATGCACTCATGAGTTTCTGTTGGTGAGATAAGTCACTCAGGCTGCCTGTCATGCATTCCTAAACTAAAAGAAATTTAGGTGAAAACATTTTTTTTTTGTTTTTTTTAGTTCTTGATGCTCATGCTCAAATCCCTATCTTTGAACAGTTGTTCCAATAGTCATTAAGTATCAAGAGGCTTTTTTTCTATTGATGCCACTAGTCTTTTTCTTTAACATCAGGTGTAGAATATCCTGCTGTTGTGGAATATGCTCCTTACCAAGCTGTACCTAAAAAGAAAGTCAAAAAAGATCCAAAGATTGGAACTATTTTGGAAGGTGCGTACAAGATTTTTTTCTTTTCCCTTTGGGATACTAGGCATGTATTACTGATCTCTTCACAAAATACAGTACAAGCTGGTGGGAAAGTCATTATCAATTTTGCTAGCTAAGAAGGTCAGGATATGTATTTGTCAATGTCTCTGAATTATCCTGCAAGTGAGATAGCCACAGACAATCTCAAATGCTACACCCTCTACACCCTGACATCAGTATGCATATTCTCCCTACTTTTTTCCATACAATTCTGAAGGTGCTGGCAAAGAGAATTTGTTTAACAATTGGGAGCTTGTTAAGTTGGTGATCATTCCCTCTTTTCTCATGAACTTAATGTTTGATCCAGGGGTGATATTGTCAGGAGAAATTAGATGCTAGGCAGTCTACGAGATCACATTTTAATAGACCAGGCCCCTGTTGTTTGAAGGACAAGTAATGCTATCCACTGGATAAAAGTCTATGCAGTAGATAATGCAGTACATTTTGCCATCACTTTTGCACTGGATAGCAATTTATCCTTTGGATTGCATTATCTGCCCTTTATACAACTTGGCCCAGAAGGAAATGGCATTGGGTAAGCCTAGGACAAGGCTAGGACAAAGGTAACATCTGAAAAGAAGCTGTGTTTTGGACACCAGATGGGTTAAGGAAAGGTTTAGGACCCAAATTTTGTCGAGATGGAGCATCAGAAAAGAGCTAGTATGGCACAAGAGCAGTCCAAAGTTGGAGTACTTTGGAGGCATTATGCATGGCTATAGAATGCTAAAATGACAGATGATTTTGATAATTTTATTTAATTTCCTTTCATTTTTTATATCATCATCAGATCCTGACTACAAGGTTTTTCTGGAATCACTGAACAAAGATGAGGAGCCTCCCCCAAGTGTTGAGGCTCATTTGGAGGAGATTGAAGCTAAGAAATGTAATAACAGTGTTTTATTTGTCATCATAAATGAAGAATTTAGAGAATGAATAAATTGTATGTATGCGAAGTTCTAGTTATTACAAGATTCATCATATACATAGACTTTTTATCAACATCTTTAAGGAAGAATTTAGAGATCTAATAGTTTGTATGTATGTGGGGTTTCACCAAGTACTCAATTCATTACCTACTTGTACTTGTCATCTTGAAAATGGAAATTTGGGATTGATTAAGTTGCATAAATGTGGAATCTCTCTTATCACTAGCTTCATCCAGTGCAGCAAAAAAGAGTACTCCATTACTGGAGTACTTGAAGATGAAGAGAAGTCCTCGTGGAAGGCCTTTGTCATCTGTAAGTACAATGAAATGTGCAAGAAAATTAAGACAAGCTTGCATGCTCATGTATCCAAGAGCTTGTACACCAGGCTGCACAGTAAATCCCCAACCCTCTACCCTAAGTGACAAGTTTCTACCTGACAGGCTCCCACTCTCTAATGCGTCTCCATCCCTCCCTCTCCTTTCAAACAAAGTCTATGAATTAGACTTGGTTATGTGTCAGTGAAAGAAACACTGGTGGTTGAAGCTTGTATTCAGTGTTTTCCAGAAGACCCGGCGGCTGGATTCTTCCCCGGCTACTCGTACCTGAAATTCTGAATGCTTGACAGAGAACCCTCCCTACTCCTTTCTACTTTATATATGGTCTATTTTAAATCTTATGATCTCCTTTGCCTTTTCTTCTGATCACAGCGGAATATTTCTGACAAGAAGAGAAGGCCCGACCGAGAGGAACTACCGAAGGTAACATTTCACTGTCGTTGTCTTGTTTTGTCTTGCGTTAGCTATTGTATTAGATGTCATGTGTTGTTAAGTTTACATGCTTGTGAGATAAGCTGTATGACGTGGTTTTCGACATCTAGGAAAGGAAATGATGGAAGGAAGAGTTTGACCATCTGAACTTAGTTGGTGTTCGGTAAACTAACAACCCAAGTGAGGTTCTAAAAATGGTTACAATTCCCACAAATCTTCCCTCATCGTTTGTTTCAACTATCAATACCTACAGAATTGGAGTTGTATCATTTCGTTTGTGGTTCCATCGGCAATCTCGTCCTGTCTCGCATAAATGTTCTGCATTATCCTTCTCCTATCCCCATCCTGAACAGCATTAGAGCGTCCTATGGCCTTCCTATCTTGGTTAGGAGCTTAGTCATCTCCCGCCATACAGTCCCTTCCCGTAGAATTGTCCTGTCCTGCACTATAATTATTTTAACTGAAGCATCATACTGTCTTCCCATGCGAGACACGCAGAACACATGTCGCGTGTCTCGATCATCGCGTTTCGCCATGTTTGTCTCCGCTCGCCTTAGATACTGCGCCTGTCCAGCGGGTGAAAGTAAGTCTAATTATCAGTGCAAATCCTATTCGGAAAGTAGACAATTTGCTCTCACGCTGTTGCCCTCCTTCTGCGATTGCGACGCGCTGTGCATACATTAGTAGCACTGGTTAACAGAATTGTTATAAAAGTACTGTTGCTTCTCTTCTGTTTACTCGCGTATTTTATTATTTTAACCAGTCGCCGAAGAAATCGTCGAATTTGTCTTCCAGCAAAGATTCTGGTGGTAAAAGTGGCAGCCATCCGCCAAAGGAGGAAAAGCCTAAAGACGAGTATGACAATTAAACTTAATTTTTATGAAAAAAGAAAGCATTACTGAAATAGTAGCACACGCAGAGACCGAATGGTTAGCGCGCGGAACTCTGGTTAGGGAGGTGCAGGTCACTATGTTCTTGAGAAGAGCAGGAAACTAAAAATAAAGGATAATCATCAGTGGTATGGGCTTCTTGGCTAAACAGCAGACTTAAGTTTCTTTTTCCATCAATTTATCCATTCCGGAGAGTATTTAAGTATTTTACCGTTTATTTATCCAGCACTTGGCTGGCTTTTCTTGTTATCCTTATTAGGTGCGAATGAAAATTTAAAAAAAAACAGTAGCGTGCAAAGAGTTTTACATTAGTTTACAAAGTTTTCCGGTGTCGTCTTTTATTTTAATGGCTGTTACTTATCGACAGAATCCTTATCCATGAGATGATATTGTCTCAAGTGAAACTTTTCAAAATCACCAGTTTGATTTTTCCAATGTTTTATCCAGCAGGAAAGATGCAAATGCCAAAGAAGGAACTCGAAAAAAAGATGAGCAGGATAGAAAAGGCAGCAAAGACACAAAGGTAATGACAGTGCTCGTTAAAAGCACAGAGTCCTCATACTGAAAATTATAAAACGAGTATAAATTTTGTCTAGGGTGTCCTTGGTTTGACTAGGGGTCTCCATCGTCTGACTTGTACCAAGTCTTCTGTGAGACAAGCTTCCGTTGATGGATTGGAAGGGAAAAAAAGAGGCTTTCCTTTCTATTCCGCCTCCCATTCATCCCCTTCATAACTCATCTTTTTCTCTCTCGCGCGCGCGCGCTTCCAGGTACAGTTAAGAGACTTGTTAGCTACAATGTGCCTAACCGGGTCTTAGAAAGTAAATGATATCATGGCTGGCAATCGCCGAAAACCTCCCTCAAATTGCCTCACCGATGAAAGGAAGATGGAGGTCGGGGGGGGGGAAAGGAAGACGAAGACGGGAACGCGTTAAGCACCGCTAAAACCTGTGAGCGGGCTATCGTTAGGAGATAATACTGAGTGCATGTTTTTAAATGTGAGTACTTGACTGCCTGATATTTTCATTACACCAAAGGTTTGCTGTTTTTGTTTTGAAACAGGCATCATTGTCTTCCAAAGAGAAGTCTGATTCAAAATCTCCTGCGAAAGGAAAAGAGGAAAAGGTTGGTTGCATCTGAGATTCTTTTTCTCGTTTATCTTGTAAAAAAGTTACATGTCATATGTGAATTCCGTAATTTTTATTGATTTTCTCAGGGTCGACCTGAATCAGGAAGATTCGGAAGGAGGTCCGACAGCCGACGCTCCGACGAAAGACGACCAGAAGACAGACGAAATAGCAATCGTAGAGACCGAAGAGATACTGGTGATAGTTCCGGAAGCGATCGAGTACGTGACGATCGCTCCCGAAAAGAAAGCGGGAGTGACGGAAGCGGGCGACGCGATCGAAGACCAGAGAGTCGACGGGATTCGCGACCATCTCGAGAACCCGAAGATAAGCCGAAAGGAAGAGAGCCCTTACCTAAAGCAAGCGATGCTGATAAGGGCGGGAAAAGTGGTGGGGAGAAAGAGAAGGAACAGATGAAAACCACATCAAAGGCAAATGAAACGGAGAAAAACAGAAAGGAGGAAGACAGCTCAGTAGTTGGTGATGCAAAACCCTCCAGAGAAGAAGAGAAGGGAGCGGCCAAAGACGAGAAAGTACGAAGCGAAGAGGAGACGAGTAGGCAAAGACGATTACGAAACAAGGTAAATAAGCGTCAACTAGTAGACTGGCAATTCGATTTTCAGTTTTCAGATTGTTAAATCACATTTAAGTTTGCTATGCATGGCCACACGTTTTCCCGCCCATAAATTTTGTTTAGGTTGTCATCTGCTATCTTTTTGTTCGTCACCCCGCGCATGACTCTTCAATACACACTTTGCACGAACAACGTCAGTAATTTCTTTGGAGGAGGCCAGTGCTAGGACGGTTCTCTGTGAGATGTCATTCCAAGTCTGTTAACTTGAGCTCTGTTATTCGGCCAAGATATAGAAAATCAAGATTGAGTTACCACCAGTGAAGAATCTGTTCCTGACATGCTGCCACTAAAAAATATGATTAACTCTGTGCAGTAGGATTCTTGGCTGTCAAAAATGTTGTATTTGTAATTTTCTTCTTTTTTTTTATTTCTGTTCACGAGCGACAAGTTTATGTCTGTTTTATCTTAGGATCGTCCTGATCGAGCCATTTATCAGCCAAGATCAGCTTCACGAGGAGCAGGCTCTAAAAGTGACGCTTCTAAAGGAACTGAATCATCAGGTTGGTAAATATCAGAAGTTTTTCACCTGCTGCGCTTCCTGTCTCCTTCGTAGTCTTTCTTTGGGATGTCACGCATTACAGTCCCCCAACAGATGACTATTTTGAATAGAGCGCTCTAACGAAAAGTTGCAACAAGAGGAGATTATTTTTCCTCAAGATAGTGTAAAAAAAGACGAGTATTAAATTTTGGAACGCAGAAAAGGGAAAATAGCATTAAGTAATTGTGTCCTAGACCTGGAGCAATGATGATCAGACAGAGACATGAATAATTATCAATGATTATTTAACACAAGTGTTCCTTCAGAATTCATCAGGAAACGAGGTAATTTTTCTTAAAGAATGATCTGTGAGCATTACTTCCTAGACTTGAGTGGTAAAGATTTGCTTTCGTTATGCAAAATTTGCACATTTCAATGTTTACGGATGAGATAGAAAAGCTTATTCCGGTAACCACGGCATGAAGCGACTAGGAGTATCACTAATCCACCCTGGATGGGATTCTAGTCCATCGTAAGGTTAACACCCCCCCTCCAGAATTTGATCAGGCTTTCCTGACAATTCACCGGTACCCATATGTACTCCTGGGTAAAGAGAGGCGCTGAAAGAGAGAAATGACTTGCAGAACACAACACATTGATTCAGCTTTGATCTCGAACCAGGACTTCTCAATCCGATTTTTTTCCTCGACTTTCCATGTAATTCATAACTTTGCGAAAGAAATGAGATATCAAAGATTTTCGATTTTTTTCTTTTAGAAAAAGAAAGAGGCAAGGACTCCAGGACCAAGGAGAAGAATCGTGAAGCAGAACGTGAAAGTAGAAAGAACCGTGATGATAAACCACGCGATCGATATCGTGACGATCGAAGAGAGCGTGACAGAGACCGTGACAGAGATCGACGAAGCGATCGTGATAGAGATCGTGAACGTGATCGTCCGCGAGAAAAGGCGCGTGAGCGTGACCAGGACCAAACTGAATTCACGAAAGAAGAACGAGACGAGCGGAAAAAAGCTGAAGCCAACGAAAGCGTCTCCGACGAAACTAAGACAACAACTTGTGAATGAAAAACCATCAATCCTTGTTTTTAATCTTGACGCCAAGTGCTAGTAACAAAGACTCCTCCGAAAAAAGGAATACTCGATAATGCCACTTTAAAATTGCATGTTTAGACCCTTTTTTGCAACCGTTACGTCAGCAGTTATGTGCATTTAAAAATATAAATCTAATTATTGACGACATAAAAAACAATTTTTCTTGCTTATTGTTTAGGAGTTTAACTTTTAAACAGAGCTAGCGTACAACAGTGACTTACAATTCCATGAAACTGGTGAGTTTCTGGCCGTAGTAAAACTGTGCGCGCGCTACTTACGGGTGAAAATTGTATATTACAAGGGAATTACTCTAGTTTGAGTTTACGATATACTGCACAGCAATATTGATATCAGTATTCACAGCAGTGCGTTTGTTTTGTACTTCACGGAAACACGTAACATTTTCGGCAAACAGTTCTAATCAAGAAAAACTTGCGGATATATGATTTAAAGAATACTAGTTATATTTCTGGTACCTTCAAGTTTTGTAGTCATCAGCTCAGAAGTCCCGTCCCCACTCTGCCCCGTCCACCCTTTGGATCCTACAACAACCATGACCCTTCCTATATTTAGCAAACCACACCCCCATTCCCCACTACAATACATTTCGGCAGCTCTCGAACCGGACTACTCGAAAACCGTGAATAATTGATTAACGAAACTAAGTGCCGATTGTGTTTGTGACAATAGGATCACGTGATCTAACTTTCTTGGAAAGCGCCTCGCGGTGGGAAAGTCTTGCTGTGACATTTGAGGAGGAACATGGCTTACTTTTTTTCGATTTTCGTTAAAATTTTTGGTATCGTGGCCTGGTTTCTCAGCCGGGATATTCCTAAGGGATTGCCGGACGATCAGCTAACGAGTCTACAAGTGAGCGGTGTTAGTATGGATATCCTGCGCTTCCTGGTAAGGACACTTGCAGCTGTCGATTAGCTTGTCGTTGATATTATTTTCAGTGAATGGACTAGGTCGGTGGAATGGCCTCGTCGATTCACAAAAAGTCTAGCTGGACTTCAGCTTTTACACGCTGACACATAAAGTATAAATAAAGCGATCACAGCCACATTAGAATTCATTGAGTGTTTATCATAAATTGCGAAACTTTTAAACGGAGAAGGATGGTCGATATCTATATTGTTAAACTACTTTTGAGTTGCGATCTATGACCTAAAAAATCCTCCAATTTTAAACAGAGAGCAAAAACGGACCAAGCAACTGAGAAATCATTTGGCCCGCTTCCGCCCCTAAGCTTTGAAAGCGTCACTCTTGATCAAAAAGTTTATTTTTAATTATTTATTTCTAGGGGTATACGGCTTCTTTATTTGGGAAAGGGGAGTCGATCGAATATGTTAATTGGGGACTTCAGTGGTTATCATGGATGCACCCTAAGGATGAAGAATCAGAAAAATTATTGGAAATTTGGAATGAAAAGATAGCCAACATCCCTGTACGTTTTTATAAACCAAAAACCCTTGGCAAAAAAACTACTGGTGTGGTTTATTTTCATGGCGGTGGATTTACTATTGGAAGTGTTGGTAGGTCATGATATCAACCCTTTAATTCCTAGAAGTGATCAAATAACATGTAACTTTTCCTAGTAATATCCATACATTATTCAGCAAACAGGTAACGAGAATACCCAGACTTATCAGGTAGAAATAGTTATCTTGATCTAACACCAAGTTCCTATAAATTATTTGAAGGAAATGTGTAGCAGCTAGAGGGGAGAATTAACACTGATCAGATCTTGGGAGTTAGAGGGTTGATAGGGTAATTTATCAGTGCCTGCTGGTAACATCAGGAAACAAATTTTTGGATTGGAAAGGACAAAGAGAAGGGGGAATGGAAGCCTGAAAAAATTGAGAATGAGAGGTGAAAGAGAGGTACTAGGCCTGGACACAACATATTACAATAAACATAAATGATTAATCTAGCAACATGATGGCTCCTTTAAATCCTTTCTGTGGGCACCACATTTCCAACAAAATTAAGCCTTGAAACATGCCCTTTTCATCTTCTCAAAAATTTGCATCAGTTCTTCGTATAATTGTTTTTATGAATTATTGTTTCAGATCAGTTTCATCTATTCACCCTGCTGTTAGCTAAAAAAGCAAATGTTGTGCTGGTTTCTGTTGAGTAAGTGTTCCACCCACTGAGTCTGGATTTCTACTGATGCATGGTTTTACAACATGATCTACTGAACCTTACAGTGGGCTCAGATTTCTTTCTGTCACCTGTCACAAATGTTTCCAACATCTTTCTTTATTTGACCACAGAGCTCATACCATCTTTCTTGCCTAGAATCTTGATCCACACAAGATACTTTTGGTAAGCTGATCCTAGCTACATATGCTTTGGAAAGCAGCTTGGTGGATATGCAGGACCTGAAAACCAAAAACTTCTCCTAGTTAACTCCCCCACCCCTGGATCTTTTTATTAATTCTCCTTACTGTCTGCCATACAATTTTAATGATGTTTGTTTGGAGAATTTGGTATTAGATCAAACAATAATTCTCTAATTGATAATTTTTTTTTTGATTCTCATTACTTATCTTCTTGATATTGTTTCAATATTGCTAGGAGAAATCTTTCTTAATCATTCTTTAGAGTTAAAAGGGTTATATGAGCTTAATTGATAAAGCATTCAGAATAACAAAATCAGAACCTTTCAAGACTCAATACCTTACACCTTTGAGAATGAAAAAATTATATTTTGTTCTTTAATTATCAGCTTTATACCTATGCTTTTAAGCATTCGGAATAACAAAATCAGAACCTTTCAAGACTCAATACCTTACACCTTTGAGAATGAAAAAATCATATTTTGTTCTTTATCAGCTTTATCCCTATGCTTTTAATAAGTATTTAATATTTCTCCATCACGCACACAAGTATTTTTGGTATAATAATTTTTTTGGACACAAAAGAGCAAATAAATACATTAAATTGAGAACCTAAAAATTAACAAAAATCAGTATACTCGGTAGAATTGCAAAAAATGACCAAAACTTGGTTTGTTTTTGTATTTCTTGTGTTCTATTCATTTGATAATAAAAACTACTCCTAATTCTAGCTCCTTTGCTCACAATGACAGGATAATTTCAAGATAATAAGACTTACAACTCATCACTACTCTGTGTGTCTCTAAACTTTGTAGATACAGATTAGCACCCAAACACACTTTCCCTGCCCAGTTCCATGACAGTTATGCTGTTGTTAACACCCTGCTGGCCACTGGAGCGAAATATGGTATTGATACAAACCGTATTATTGTTGCTGGAGACAGTGCTGGTGGTAATCTAGCAGCTGCAGTTGCTCTCAAGCTTCGAGATGAGGACAAACATCTGGCAGCTGAGGTAATGTTACCTTGATCTACCAACCAGCCTTTGTAAGACCCTATTGATTTCTTTTGTAAAGGAAAGTTACCCCTAAATACCTCTATTACCTAGGTTATCATGGCAATCACAAGGTCACTGTGGTAACAAATCTTTCATGCAAAGCCAGCTACTTAACTGATCTCAGCTCATCATTGTCTGGCCTATTGCCATTTGAGTGATGAAACACCTTGCATGCTTGATTCAATGCAAACTTTATCCTTTGCAAGTCAGAGCCAGTTCTTTAGGAATTTTTCTTCAGTTGATGCTTTATTTCCCTTCACATACTGTTGTTAAATGAAGTATTTTAAGTTTACAGAACAATGTATTTGTGAAATGATTACATATGAGTTGCTATAATTGTTGGTTACATCTCAAAGGTTGGCTTTATTCGGGACCATGCAGTTGTTAATTATTGCCTGAGGATGGAGGATTTTAGGGGGGAACAGAGGGGATCAGTTGTCACAAAATTGATTGCCAATGAGATGGGGGGGGTCATGGGGGGGTCATAAGAATATTACAGTGCCTTATAGGGGGATCAGGTAAAATTTATCCTGACATGATCAAATTCTTCTGATCCCCCTCCCCTCACTCCTAAGGCAAAAATGATTACTTGGTTTCAAGTGGTCTTAGTATTTTCTTGTGGGAAACATACATTTTTAAAATTATAGATCTCAACTAGAAACTAAATGTCAAAGATTGGGTGATTATTTTTAACTTTTCTTCTGTTTTGATTGCAGATTCTCATCTACCCTGCACTTCAGTTCATGGACTTTTCACTTCCCTCGTATCAAAACCATGGCTCTCGACTCTTGTCATTGGAACAATTGGCAGGTTACTGGTCATATTACATGACAGGATCAGCTGACAAGGTCTCATCCTTTTTGGCGAACAATCATTCCAGGCATCTTCGCAACACAAAGTACTCCTCTTACATTGGGGTTGGTGAAAAGGGACAACAAAATCAACAGAAGAAGCCATTACGTGGAATTCCAGTAATTGTTTTAGATAGTCTGGTGGACTATAGAGCATCACCTTTAATGGCAAATAGTTTAAAGGGGCTTCCCAAGACGTTAATCATTACATGTGAATTTGACATCTTAAAGGATGATGGTCTGTTGTACAGGGCTCGTTTGTTGGATGCTGGTGTCAAAGTGACCCATTTAAACTACATGAGCTACCATGCCTTTTTGGCAATTCAAGCATCACCTTACTTTGTAGCTGAGGAGTTTAATCAGGCATTGAGAGATATAGTTGACTTTGTGAAAGGAGTGTAAAAAAGTCTAAAAATATGCATAAATTTGATTAGCAAAACATTTCAGCCATTTTTGAAGAAGACTTTGGTTATGAGAAATGGTTGTTGTAAATGTACGCTTCTAAAAATCTCCGGACTGCTTAGTTATGCTGACATACGTACCATAGAACTTTCAAGAACATTTCATCACGTCACGCAGTCATTACGTAATAGTACTGAAATAGTTCTTTTGTAAGCCTCTGGAATGTTCCAGAACACTTTGTGAATGTATATAAAGACTCGGTTAGGTAGTAGTAGTAGTATTTATTGTTGTTGTCAGGGGTGACCGACTGTTTAGAAAGCTATGAGAGAGAGTAACAGTAGAAGATTGCTAATTTCAAGAAACGTTGTGGAAAACCTTGAGTTCGGCTCAGGGGTGAGCTAAGATATTGACTGTAGTGGGCTTAAGTAAGTTTATCGAGCATAAGTACTGTACTGCCTTCAGTAGTCGCTTGTTATTAAGAATATCAAACACTTGTTTATTGAAGTTGTTAAGTTTGTAGGATTGTAGTGTTTTTCTGTCGGTTAGATTATATCCATTCGTAACACATTGCATCCTCTTCGTCTTGATTCACATCTTGAACAGGGTATAAAAAAGTATAAATGTCTAGTTAAGTTTATTTAAGCAAACAATTTTATGAGTTTTTTTTTAAGACATTGCATGATCCTATCAATCTTGATTCATTCGTTCAAGAGAAACATTTTTGACACGTTTTGAAATGTTAAACTTCCGCACAAGAGTAACCCTGGACTAGACTAATTCTTAGGGTCTTAAAATACTAAACTGGAGGAGAATGTGCTGATTTTGCTCTGACATCTGCAAATGGTTAGACATTCTAGTCTTCTCGGATAAGGACGAAAACTGATGATCGGAGATAGTAAAAGAAGACGCTAAAGAACCCACACACTTCTTTCAAAGAGTAGGAAGCCCAGCTCCCAGAGTTGTGATCTGGCCTTGTATTCCGGAAAAAAACTTCTAAACTGGGGCACCTGTCAAAATTCCTTTCAAGTATTGTAGACTGCTCAATGCAGTCTGGCCAAAGTCCCTTGCAAAGTATTGTTAAAAGCGTAATAGAGCATATTCACTTATATGGCGAAATTTTCATTTTATGGAAAATGCGCGAAAGAAATGCATCATTGTTTTATTCATTCCATGTTTGTTTATCAGCCTAACTGAGTGGCGCTAAAAGCAAGTGACGTTCAGCAGCCGATTGGCCAGTCAAACACGTGAAAAAAATATCGTAATTTTTCAGAACGTGAGTTGTTATGGCTTTTCTCAAGGCTGGAAATCCTTGTATAACACCGTAGATTATATAAAAATGCTACTAAACGATGACAAAACAGAAGTTCTGATGATTGGCTTTAAGTAGCAACTGGCAATCGACATAATTACAACTGGATAATCTGACTTACTACCTAAGTCTACCATCAATGGTAAAGAACCTAGGTGTGTTGTTTGAATCCACTTTATCGATGAATACACATGTTAATAAAATATGCTCAACGGCTTTTAATTATTTGTATGATCTAGGATGAATTAGGACATATTTATCAAGAGAGTCCACCGAGACAGTTATTCGTGAGTTTGTATTAAGTCATGTCCATTATTGCCAGCTTATCAGTGAGACAGGGTAATTTAGATTTATCAACTGAGTTGATAACCCAGACTTTCACTCAACAAAACGAGCACTGTGATTGGTTGATGTTTGGTCATGAGCCCCTGATCAAATACAATTGTATCCCGACCGGGCTACAATTGCGCAGTTGTCGCAAGCGCGCCGAATGTAGCAGCATGGTTTTGACATATGATTGTTTGAGGGAAAGTCTAAATATATAACAAAGCACTTAATGTATGGTCTCACGGGAAACAAGTTAGTTTTGTTTTCCTGAGAGTCCTGATGTTTCCCGAGATGAAGTCGAGGGAAACATCAGGACTCTCCGGAAAACAAAACGAGCTATTTCCATCGGGACCATACCTTTAGTGTATATTGGCCACCGTTTCAACTCAGCCTGTTGTACTCTCACACCGACGTAACACCGCAATTTCTTTAGAAAGTTACACCCTTTAACCATTTATCAGTAAGAGAAACTGCAAAGAGTCCAGAATGCAGCTGCCAGATTAATATTTCAGAAACTAAGACATTGTCGAACAACTCCTCTTTTATGTAGTCTTGACTGGCTGCCAATTGTTTTTGCATAGAGTTTTAAAAGATGTTACTATTGACGTATACAATTCACGGTTGTGCTCCTGATTACATTGGGGAACTTATAATCATTGTTATTTTATTATTATTGTCATTACTATTATTATTATTATTATTATTATTATTATTATTATTATTATTATTATTATTAATTGATTCATAAAACACATTGATACTTGAGTTTGTGCTGTCCTAGTCAAAGGAAGCTTTAGTCGTTGCGTGACAGTAGGATCATATACGGAAAAAAAATCTCGCAAAGGGAAAGTGCGCTGTGACATTCAAAGAGGATCATGGCTAACTTTTTCCTTATTTTCAGTCTAACTGTTGGAATCTTTTTTGGCATTATCGTGGCCTGGTACAATAGTCAGGAAATTCCAAAGGGATTGCCCGACGATCAGTTGATGGGTCTACGAGTTTTCGGTACTGGTATGGATATACTCCGCTTTCTGGTAAGGACACTTGCAGCTGTTGATTACTTGTCGTCGATAGAATTATTATTGAATGTTGGATTAGGTCGGTGGAATCACTTCGTCGATTCACAAAAATTTTTGTTGGACAATTCACTTTTCTACGCTGGCACGTACTGTCAAGGTAGAGTAACTAATCATTGCAGCCACATTAGAAATCACATGTTCATCACAAATTGCGAAATTATTTAGTTGACGGAGAAGGACAATCGATCGGGTTGCTATGACTCTATGACTGTGAAAATCCTCCGATTCTAAACAGGGAACTAAGAAATAATTTGGCCCACTTCCACCCCTAAGCTCTAATTGAAAGCGTCGCGCTTGATCTAAAGCTTATTTTGAACTACCGGTATTCTCTTTTTTCAAGGCGTCTACAGCTTCAGATATTGGGATCGGGGAGTCCGCAATGGAAAATACTAATTTGGGACTTCAATGGTTATCATCGATGCTCCCTGAAAGTGACGAATCAGAAAACCTCTTGGAAATCTGGAATGACAAGATAGCCAACATCCCTGTACGTTTTTATAAACCAAAAATTCATGGCAGCAAAAGAACTACTGGTGTGGTTTACTTTCATGGCGGTGGATTTACTCTTGGAAGTGTTGGTAGGTTGTAGGAGTCCTTTAGCTCCAAGAAGTGATAAACTAACAGTCATGTAACTTCCCCCAGAAATATCCATCATTATCCACCAAATTAGACAGGTGATGGGAATACCCAGACCTATCAGATAGAAGCAGTTACCCTCATCTAACACCAAGTTCTTGTAAATTATCTAAAAGGAACTGTGTAGCAGCTGGAGGAGAGAATTAACAATCAGATTTGGGGAGTTAACCCTTCAACTCCCAAAATCAAATGATTAATTCTCCCCTCAAGCTGTTACACATTTCCTTGTAAAGTAGTAATGAGAATTTGGTGCTAGATTAGGATAACAACATCTACCTGATAAGTTTGAATATTCTCACTACCTATTTGCTGGATAATGTGAGGATATTATAGGGAGAAGTTTGATGTTGATCACTTCTGGGACTTAAAGGTTAAAGGGTTGATAAGATAATTTATCAGTACCTGCTGGTAGCATCAGGAAACAAAACTCTGGAATTAGTTTATTGAGGAAGAATTAAAGAGAAAGGGGATTAGAAGCCTGGAAAAATTGGGAATGAAAGGGTGGAAGAGAAGAGAGAAAAAGGATCAAAGAGGGATTACATGTGCAGAAACAGGATTTTGTGAGGGTGGAGGGGGGGAGGCAGACAAGGAACATGGCAATGTTTGGAAGCTGGAGCTCTAGACACAACATATTGCAATAAACATAAATGAATAATTTAGCAACATGAAAGCTTCTTTTAATCTCTAATGTGGGTACCTACATGAACCCTGGTTTTTTTATGTTGTTAAAAATTTGCATCAGTTAACAATAATTTTTTTTTATAAACTATTTCTTCAGATCAGCATCATCCATTTACTCTGCTGTTAGCTAAAGAGGCAAATGTTGTACTGGTGTCTGTTGAGTAAGTATTCTACCAACTGAGTCTGGATTTCTACTGATGTATGGTTGTACAACATGATCTACTAACCTTGAAAGCAAGCTCATGTTTCTTCCTTTCACTTGTAGCAAATTTTGTTGTGCTCTATTCATTTGATAATGAAAATGAATCCTAATTTGAGCTCTTTTTCTTGCAATGACAGGATAAATTCAAGATAATAAGGCTTACAACTTACCACTGCTCCATATGTCTCTAAACTTTTCAGATACAGATTAGCACCCAAACACACTTTCCCAACCCAGTTCCATGACTGTTATGTTGTTGTTAACACCTTACTGGCCACTGGAGAAAAATATGATATTGATACAAACCGTATTATTGTTGCTGGAGACAGTGCTGGTGGTAATCTAGC